TGTGCGTATCTGCTGTCTGCGCAAGTACGTGAGTGTCACTGCCGAGTTCCCAGAGCTGGTCACACATCCCGGTGGGAGGCCTCTGGGGGAAGGGCAGATCGACGATCATTTTTTCCCCTTTCATCTTCCTCACGGGATCCTTCGCCGGCAACGTTTTTAATTTTCAGGAATTCCAATTCGTCCAGTTCTCCTTTCATGGCTTGTGCTTTGGGTGTCAAGTCTCAGAACAATGGGCCCGGCCCCAGAGCCCAAGGATTTTCCTCCTGTGTGTTCTTCTAAACCTTTCATGATTTTATCTTTGTGTGTAAGTCTGTGAGCCATTTGGAATTCATTTTTGTAGAAGGTATGGGACTTTCATCAGTTTCTTATTTTTTGGCCTGTGGAAGCCAGAGCCTGCATTTCCCCAGATTTCCCTCCAGTAACCCCGAGGTTATTCGCTTTTCTTTATTATTCAAATATTTCTTGGTGCCGACTAAGCGTCTGGCCCCTCAAGGTCCTGGGGCCCACAGGTCGAGTGTGTAAGACCCATGCCTGCCCTCTGGGGCTCACTGTCAGGCCTCGACTGGCCACGCCCTGACCCTCCCAGAAGCTGCCTCGGGATCAGACGGGGGTGTCCACGTCAGGCCCCCCGGGGCAGCCGAGGGGAGCAAGCCACCCGGGGACTGTCTGCATGGACCCCATCCCGCCGTCCCCTTCCACACAGCGCCCCTGGCTCTGCCCTGGGGGCCGCGATGGGGCAGAAACAATGGCCTGGCTTGTAGTCTCAGGCGGACACAAGCGCGCTTTCACGAGCCCACAAGACCGGTCCGTGCCGCCTGGCGCCAAAGGGAGCAGGCCCAGTGCCCAGCTGGGGAAGATGCTGCTCTGGCCACACCCCCAGCGGGCAGCAGGCAGAGGCTTCCCGCAGCCTCCAGCCTGGGTCCCCGTGCCCCAGCCAAGCAGGCAGCGGGGCCAGACCTGCACTCCAAGGAGGGGTGCCTGCCACGCCCCACCGCATCCCAGCCCAGGAAGACCCTGGGCTTCTGGGAGGGACCCCAAGTTCCAAGCAGCACGGGGTGGGGGTGGGGTCGAACACACACTCAAGGTTGGCAGAGCTCCGGTCCAATCCCAGCGGGGCCGCCGTATGAGTGTTCTGTGGCTGCTGTATAAAACGCCCCAAACTCAGCGCCTCAGAACAGGCCGACCTGCTACTTAGCCTTCCAGCCTGGAGGCCACAAGTCCAAAGGCTCCCGTGAGCTGCTTCCTGCTGGGGTTCGGGAGGGTCCGTCTCTTCCTCCAGCTCCTAGCCGGTGGCTTCTCTCCGTCCTCCCCACGCCCTCCCACCTCCTTCCTATTAGGGCCCTCGTGATGACACTGCCCCCGCCCCGGCACGGGCAGCTTAGGACTGGTGACACGGAAAGATGAATCTCACTTGTTCTACTTTCCTTTTGTACACGTGGCTCCTGTCGTATCACGTTTATATTTATACCGTGCAGTGCTTTGCAGTGTGCAGATTCGCTTTGATTATTCAAATAGATGTTTTATCAAGAAAACTGAAGGACGTGTGCACTGACCTCCTGACTCTCCTGCAGCAAAGAAACTTGTGGCCTCGGCCCGCCCTGCGTCCTGGGCCACACGGCCCGAGCCCTCGGGAGGAGCGGGGTCTTAACGTGGCTGCTTTCTGTTTTCGGGAAGCACGTGGGGACAGTGGGACCCTAGAGCAGGACAGCCAGCCCAGCCCGGGGGCGCCAGGGGGGCCGGGAGTGCTTCTGGGAGAGTGTGGAGCAGGGCCCAGTCCCAGCTCTTGGCATGCAGGGCCATCTCTGCCCCCCCGCAGTGGGCCACCTGCCCCCAGAGTGATGGACAGACACTGCTCACAACAGACCCCCAAGGCCCGCGGAGCTGCAGCTCCCACCCCAGCTCCACGGACCACCCCTCACAGCCCACGAGACAAGGCCCAGGGCAGGTGCCCGCAGGGCTCGCACCCGTCGTGGACCCCGGAGCTGCTGCCGCCCAGCCCAGCGGCAGCGACTTTCTGTGGGTCAAGCCCCTCTCCGGGTCAGTCTTTATTCTGGAACCCCCGTTCGGCTTTCCCAGGGAGCCTGCTCTGTCCAGCCATTGGGGGGAGCCGCGTGGTAGGCTGCCCCCCCAACTCCCATGGGCCCTTCCCTGCCTCCACGGAAAGGCCAGAGCCCGGACACTGGCCCGAAAGCTCTCTGGGCAACAGGGCGGCTGACGCGCGCCCCTGCTTGGCTCTGGGGTGGATGGCGGCCTCGAGGCGGCCTTCTTAGGAGAGGCCGGGAGAGGCTCAGCCCAGAACCCCGCTGCTCCCGGAGTCCGGACACGAGGGTCGGACGGCACACGCTCCCCAGCTTCACGCCCTTCCCGAGTCACTGCTTAGAAACTCCCGAGGCCATCAGACCCGTGGTCACCTGGGGTGGGCCCGGGGCCTGCTTCCTGCCACACAGAGCTCAGCCCTGCTGCCGCCCCCCGGCCCCCGGGAACCGTGGCCAGCTCGTCACATCAGGACCACGAGAGAGGGCTTAAAGCCCAAGGGTCCATCACCATCGACGGGTGAACGGAGAAAGAAGATGTGGTCCATCCACACACGGGATATGATTCAGCCTTAATGAGGAAGGAAACACTGACACAGGCTAATGAAACTTGAGGACAGAACAGTGAAATGGGCCAGACGCAGAAGGACAGTGTGGTTCCACTTCTGTGAGGTCCCTGGGGAGAGGTGCCTGGGGGAGTCAGGGTCACAGAGACAGAAAGCAGGGGGTGGGGGCCAGGGCCTGGGGGGGGGGGGGGGGGGGTTGATGTGTAACGGGGGCAGAGCCTCAGTTTGGGACGACGAGAAAGTTCTGGAGACGATGGTGGGGATGGTTACACGACAGCGTGAATGTGCCTGATGCCCCTGAACCGGACACTGAAAAATGGTGAAGAGGGTAAGTTTTATGTTATGGCTATTTTATCACAACAGAAACAAAACAAAAGGAATAAAATCTTCTATGAAAGATTTCAGACCAAAACGTGGAGTCAGGAAGATGTACGTCATTGCACATTTAATGGCACATGCAGCATCCAGAACGTCACAATAAACAGGGCAGCGCTTACACAGCACGGAAACGCCCACCGGCAGCGGCAGGGCAGGGCTTACACACCTCAGAAACACCCACCGGCAGCGGCAGGGTCACCCCGACTAGGCAGCCTCCCCGGGCTGCACGGGCAGCAGCAACGGGGTAGCTGCACTATTTCGTTTGTCCTTCAGGTCACCAGGAGGCCCATGAGGCACGGGCCCCAGGCCCCTCCAGCTCACGTGAGAGTCGGCCTGACGACACTTCCGAGGGGGAATCGATTGACTGATGACTTAGGTGTGTGGGCCCAGGGCTGGTCTGACTCACATTCTTCCTACATGGGGAGGGGAGAGGCTCGGATAACGGGCTTTCCCACCAGGGCGAGACTCCTGGTTAACGGGAGGCTTGTCTGCTGGAGAATGACTCACAGGGGACTCTGTTCCTGACAACTTCATCCAGAAAGTGTTTTAGAAAATCCCTCCACTTCCTCCCAAGTCTCCAAGAAGCTGCTTTGCGAAGACGTGGAAGGCAGTGGGGCCTCCCCTGGCCCCGAGAGCAGCGCTCACCGCACCTCGGAAAGCCCCAGGCTCACATGGCGTGCCCTTCCTCTCCTGGGCGTCTCAGCCCAGTGAGGATGACCCCTGCCTCTGACGGTCAGGCAAACTGGTCGGTGCGCCCAGCTTTCCAGGAGAGGGGAGGGTCACGCCCACTCCCCTAAACATGCCGTGGGCTCCTGGGGGCCACCCCCCTCTGAGGCTGGAGCTAGCTTAAGCCGCCAGAGCCTCCCCACCCCTGGCATCTTGGGAGGACTGTCTGTGGGGCGGTGGGGGTGGGCATTTGAGGGAGGGGCTGGACCCTCTCTCTCTTCAGCCTCAGCTTCTCACTCCAAGCCCAAGAGTGCCTGTGGGGACCCCCTGGGATGTCATCGCCCCACACCCTGGCCACAGACCGGGTGGCCTCGCATCACAGGGGTCGGCCGCCGGGAGCTGCCCAGCCTGATAGGAGAGGAGAGCCTCCCAGAGCTGGCCCCCCACCCCAGAAGACGTGGGGAGGAAGGCGGGTCCCTTAAGAGGAGCCAGTGGGGGACGGGGAAGGGAGACGGGGAGGGGGCCGCCACCTCTGGAGGTGACCCCTTTACTCCCAGGTGAGCCCGAGGGAGGGGTGGTGCCCAGCTGCCAGCGTCAACTGGACGTGCGTGCGCACAGCAGCAGGAGCGGCGGCTCAGACGGTGAGGGAGATGAAGCTGTTGTAGCGCTGGATGTTCCTCTTGAGGATCTCGGAGCAGGGGCCCAGCACGCGCTCGAAGCGGGGCCGGTCCAGCTTCACGCACTTGAGGGGCCCCCGGGCCACCACGGTGGCCGCCCGGGGCCGGTTCAGCAGCAGCGCGATCTCCCCTGGGGGCGAGAGAGAGCGTCAGGGCTGCGGATTTAGGGGAAAAGCGAAACCTCAGGACGCGAGGCCGCACCTGAGTGAACGTCTGCGCGAGCGCGGCCCACAAAGCGCTGGGATATACTTACACCATCGCCTGGAACTCAGATGGCGCCGGGCCTGGTCCTGACCCACGTCCTGCCCTCCCGGGACAGCCGGCACCCAGGACAGGCCGCCAGGGTGCCCAGGCCTCGGCCAGGTCCTCCCACGGCCCCCGCGGACCTCGCCCTCCTGGGGCCCCGTGCAACGGCCGCCACCCCGGGAGGGAGCGGACCCCACAACTCACCGAAGTAGTCGGAGGGCCCGAGGCGCCCCACCTCCACATACTCCTCACCGGGGGACCGGCGCTGGAGGACGGAGGCTGTGCCCTGCAAATGCCAAGCGGACACGTGAGGGTCGGCCGGCTGGGGTGGGGCGGGCAAAGGCGGGGGTGGCCGGACACCGCCCGCATCCCCATCCCACTGGCTCCACGCCCCCCACCTAAAAGTGAGGCGTGGGGTCTGGGAGCTGCGGCCATGCTCTGGCCCAGGGCACCTCCCGGGCACCACCATCCTCGCCGGCCTGGCTCCTGCCCCAAGCTGTCTGCCCGCGGGCGGGGCACGGGCAGAATCTGGAGGTGCCTCCGAGGGCAGCGCTGCTCCGAGCTGACCTTGGCTTAAGTTTCAAGGACGGGAGGCGCGTGGCCTCGTGGTCACGCCGCCCCGCTAAGCGATGCGGCCCCCTGGCCTCCAGGCGGGGTGTCCGCGACACTGGGGCTCAATGATTAACGCCAGCCTAGGCAGCTTGGCGAGGCTGCGTTCCACACCAGAGACTCGGCCTTCGGGGGCCGCAGCCTCGGCAGCAACGAGCTGGCACCGGTGGCTTCCGCGCGCAGAGCCCCCTGGCCTGCCGTCTGGGGGCACCCTGGGGCTGGAGCCTCGTCGGAACCCGGCATCTTCCCCACACGCCCAAGGAGTAGCAGCAAGGCCTTATGAATCACCCCGCCAGCCCCACTGGCCTCACCGGCCGCTGCCGATGCCCTGGACGCACAGAGGAGCCTGGGCTGTCTCGCGGTGGGCTCGGCTCACCCTGGCTCACCCAGACCCGGCCTTGCAAGCGCTAGCCTGGCCGCGCCCGGGTTAACTGGTACCCCCTCCGCCCGGGCCGCAAGAGACTCGGTCAAAAGACCCCACCAGTGCCTGCCGCGACTGGGACCTCCGGACGCCCTGGGCAGACCCACGCCGGCCCCACTCCAGCCACAGGGCCACTCGGCTCTCAGGCGTCTGGGGTGCTTACGAAGCTGGCTGACAGAGGGAGCCGGACCTGGAAGCAGCAGGCCATCTCCACCCGGCCCGGGCACTCCAGGAGTGCTCCCTGGGCCGTGTGCCCACAGACCCCAGCCGAGGGACAGGGCCTGCGGGACACGTGGTCCCGTGCTGCCCCCACAGAGAGGAGTGGGGTCCTGCTCCCAACTGCCCCTGGAGTGGAGGGCAGTCAGGTCCAGGGATGACGGCACTGCGGCGCTTTTCTTGAGACAACGTTGCATTAACCTAACTATCGTTTACATGCAGCCTTTTCACTTATATAACTGACATGCCTTTCATTCCCATTTTAGACAATTTTCCATTTTACAACTGGATCATTTTCCTCTTCAGGACCCGGGACGGAGCTGAAGTTCCAGCTGATAGAGCTGCTCAGTGAGACTCCAGGCTTAAAGTGAGATGCTGCAAGCTCCAAACAACAGAAAACCCAACTCAAGGTGTCTAAAGGCTACTAAGGGTAACTGCTCTCCCGCAGAACCAGAAGACTGAGACAGGGCTTTCAGGGCTGGCTAATTCAGCGGCCCACAGACGTGTCTGGACCCAGGCTTGTCCTTGCCTCCTGCCCTGGTGGCCTCAGTCGAGTCCCTGTGCTGGCACCGTGGCTGCCACAGTTCCAGGGGTCACCCAACGCCTCCCCCATGCCATCAGCAGGGAAACCTTCTGGAAGCTCCCGGCAACCTCCCCTCACAGCTCACTGGCCAGAGCAGGTCACGTGCAAGCGATGCGACTGGCTGCCACTTCTCAGGCTCTGCCCTGCCCGCCTGGGACAGCGGTGAGGATTAGGGCTCAGTGGGCACATGAGAGCAGGGATGGGCTCGGGTGGGCCACCGTTCTGTTTCTCACTTGTCCCCCGCCCCATGCAGACACCTCCCTGCCCTCTGCCTCCTCTGGAACCAACCGCATCCCCCGTGGTCACTGGAAGCATTTCTCTCCTGGTCACATGTGGACCGGCCCATCTTACGATCGACGGCAGGTTGACGAGATGAAATCTGTTTCCACTGGGATGCACGGAGCTTTCCCACTCGGGACCTTGACACAGAGGATGTACGCGCACCCGTTAAGACTGATGTAATAACAGACCCTCCAGGCTGGACGGCACGAAGATGAAAGGTCCTCAGGGGGAGCCCCGAATAAGTAGGACCAACAGGGAACAGGCGGCCACTCCGCTCGGTCCTCACACGTCCCAGGGCTGCAGGAGCACGTGGCCACGGGACCATGTTGTTCCCAACAGGGTGTGCACTGCACCACACTCTCTTCCCGCTGCTGACAGCCCAGCCTCCACGGGGGGAGGTCTGGCAAGGGGCAGTGGGGCCACGAGAGGAAGGGCCACAAGGGACAGAGCCACGCCCCCCAGGGGTGCCTGTGATGACCGTGGGGTCACCACTTCACAAGACAGACACTTCCTCATTCTCCACCGCAGTGGTTCGGGGGCTCTTTGCTGCAGCAGCTGAAGCTGACAGGCCACCACCCCCAAGCCCTGACGCAACGGCAGGACGTTCCTGTCCTGGGAAGGCACAGCCGCCAAGCCCGAGGGCGGGGAGCGAGGGAAACGGGCAGACGGACTCGATGGGGTGGGACCTCCAACCAGCAGGGCCCGGCGTTCCCACGACACGGGCCACAGGCGTGACCAGCACACGCCCGGGTCTTCCCATCCCAGGGAAATCACCGCAGCCCTGGAATAGCCGTCCTGTCCAAGCTCGTTTCCCAGACGGGCATGAAGGCAGCATAGACATCCTCAGGGAGTTGAGAGCCGGAATTCTGGGGGCTGGAGAAACACACTTGCCAAAACTCTAGATCATATTCCCCAAATTTCTCATTGATTCTAACCCAACTCTAAAAATAAATCAGGTCACATAGGAATCAGCCAGGGAGGATGCACAAGGAAAACGTCACTGCTGGAGTCTGGAGGAGAAGGGGTTACAAAAGGCCCATTCTCCTTTCAACGCTTTTCATTTTTTAAATTTTTCTACAAAGTCGAAACCCACATCAACTCTTTGGTTTCGACAACGGGCACGCGTGACCTTTATGAGACAGAAACCAGCCAAGGTCGAGGAGAACGCACTCGCTGAAGCAGGGCCTCAGGCTTCCCTCTCCCTGAAGCAGCCTCTCCAGCCCGGCATAGAGCCCCCCTGACCGGGTCGGGCGATGGCACAGCCGGGAGCTTGGCCTCGCCCTCCCCAGGGACATGGCCCACCTCCATCTCCTCCAGCCTTCGGGCCGTCACCCACTCCTCCTGCCTGTGAGCCAGACTCCGCTCGAGGGCGGGGAAGCCTACGCAGTGGAGAACGGCAGGCACGGGCGCCCCAGGATCCACACCCTGGTGGGGTCAGAGCAGACAGGTCAGGGCTGTGGGCCGCTGGCCCCACGCCCACGGTGCGGCCCGGGGTGGGGCTGGGGGACGTCAGGGTCAGCGGCTCAGTAGGGACGGCACCTGGTGAGAGAGGAGCTCCCGCCAGGGACCCGCAGCCGCTCCGGGCAGAGACTGGAGCTCGTGCGCATCCGGCCCAGCAGGGGAGGGGACACACGAGCGTGTCAGTGTGAAGGCCAGCCGTGCAGTGAGCAGTCACTCTCAGATCCCACTGACACCAAGTTCAGGGAGAGCAAACCCTATTTTATTTGAATAAATATCTATCTTAAAAGAAACAGTATCACAGCCATAAGCAGGAACCAGCATCACCTCCCGTAAGCTAAAGGACAACTGAAAGAAGAACACAGGAGGCAGGTATGGGAAGGTGTGAAGACAGCAGCCTCCACCCGAGGTGCCCTCGACACGGCCTGAGCCCCGCGCTCTGGGCGGCTCCCCACGGTCCAAGCCCGGCTCCACGACGTGCTGGCCGCAGTCAGGGGAAGGCAAGGCACAGCCCGAGTCTCGGTTCCCTCATCTGCAGAAGAGATACGACGCCGGCCACCGCAGACTCGGGGGACCAGCGCGCGCAGGCCTGCAGCAGCACGGCCGTGGTGGGGCCAGAAGCCGCCCTCGGGCCACCCAGCTCCCGGCCAGCGGGCAGCGGTGGGTGAGGGAGTCGACACCCCCGCACGGGGATTCGTCCAAGACAGCGCATCTGTTGGACTTTCCACGGACAAATCAGGCGTCTTTATGGCAACGGTCTTTGCACGCTGCGTATCTCTCCTCCCCTGGTGCCAGGAATCCCGTCCGGGGTAAAGCAGGACCTCGGAATCCAGCAAATGAGTTCCACATCTGTCTGTCTGGGAACGCCTCATGCTGTGTGTGGATACCAGGGAAACCGGAGCTGGGAACGGCTGAGGATGGGAAACACAGGCCCTCAGGGTTCCTCCAGCCTCCTGAGGGGGGCCGAGGGGAGGGAGGAAGATGGTGCTTTTAGACTTTTTGGGGGGGTGCATCCCCAACTTTTAAAACTGTTTCTTATGTTAATTAAAAAAAAAAATCAGGAAGGAGCCAAGTCAATGAGAAGGACTGTAGGAGGGACCCACACAAACGGTCACGGGGGCAGAGGAGGTGGCACCACCCTTTTCTGAAGATGCCTCTGTGTCACTGGTCTTATCCCAGCAAGTGACATTTTACAGGCATAATTTTTTAAAATTCATTTTAGGAAAGGCTCTCATCCCTGAACTCAGAAGCTCTGAGCTCCAGGCCTCAGCACCTAGAAGCAGACTTGGCAGCCTCACCGGAATCTTCACATACGGGATGCTCCTGGGGACACACGGCCGAGGAGGCCCGAGGCACACGACAGCGTGTCAACCTGGGGGCACCGCGTGTGGGCTCAGTGTGTCCGCCCACAGGGGATGTGGTCAGGTCATTGCAAAGCCCAGGAGTGCCCGCCTGGCCGGCACTGGGAGCCGTCCTCACCAGGGCAAGGGTGACTGAGGTGCACGGGCTGGGGCCTACAAAAGGGGGGGGCTGCAAGAGGATGGGTCCCCAGCCCCGGCCCCCAGATGACAAGGTGACGAGGAAGGAGATGCGTCAGGGCCTGGGAGCCCCCTGGACTCCTCTGACCCTCTCGGTGGACCTCAGAGCCGCCGAAGACAGGGCCTGGGCGATCCCGGGTGTGAGAGCCCCCCCGTGGGATCAGGAGAGGTGCTGTCGAGCACCAAGCAGACACCAGGTCGGGGGTCATCTCCAGCTCCTCTAAGATTCAGCAATTGTGCTCCTTGGTATTTACCCACAGGGTCAGGTTGAAAGCTCACGTCCACGTGAAAACCTGCACAAGGATGCTTAGAGCAGCTTTATTCATAGCTGTCAAAACCTGGGAGCAACCAAGGTGTCCTTCAGCAGGTGACGGATAAATAAACTGGTTCATCCAGACCAGCACTAAAAAGAAATGAGCCATCAAGCCCTGAAAAGCCACGGAAGAAACTTACATGCGTACCACCGAGTGACAGGCGCCAGTGAGGAAAGGCTTCGGGCTGTGTGCTTCCAACTACGTGGCATTCCGGAAAAGGCAAAACTAGGGAGACAGTGAAAAGACTGAGCGTTGGGGCGTGGAGGGGACGACCAGGTGAGCAGAGGTGGCTTTTACAGCAGGGAAACTACTCTGTGTGATACGGCAACAACCGACTTGTCCGTATGCGTTTGTCCAAACCCACAGAACGTACAAGCACCCAGAGTGAGCCCTACCACGGTGGACCTTGGGTGACTGTGAAATGTCCATGCAGGTTCATCGATCGTGAGAGATGCACCACCTGGCGGGGGTGTTGGTAGTAGGGGAGGCTGTGCCCGTGGTGGGGGGGGAGGGGCTGGTGGGAAATCTCGGCACCTTCCCATCCACTTTGTTATGAACCCAAAACTGCCCTTAAAAAATAGTCTCTAAATAAAAAGAACTCCTCTGAGATCCAGATACCTCTCATTACTGGTGACCCGGCTGGCACGGAGGACAGAGGTCCGAGTCGGCTGGGACCAGTGGACACGGGTGCAGTGTGGCTCCCAGCCCAGCCTGGCTTCTGGAAAAGCGTTCCTTCTGGTTCAGTCCAGAAGGAAAGTTTATCTTCCTGCTACTTTCTGGACCAAGACTGCCGTCCTTTGATATTGACCGTGGCCAGGGGCACTGCTCGCACTCCCTGGACGGGGAGGGTCTGGCACCGACCACGGAAACCCAACAGCAATTAACGGAGACGGAGACCACATTCACCCTGCGCAGGTGCCGACCAGACTCATCACCTCCTGGCGGGGCCCCCGAGGCTGAGCCGTGAGGTCTGCCGCCCGTCGGGCGGAGGGCCAGGGTGAGCCCCTCAGACTGGTTCTCGAGCGAGGGAGGGTCCCAGGACGGGAGCAAACCCACCAGGCCCGTGGGAGGCCCCTCGGGAGCCGGAGCCTCAGGGCGGGATGGCTGTGGGCGTCTGGCTCACGGGGAAGCTTGGGCAGCTGGACGAGATGTCCCTGACCTTGCCGGGGACACAGGGTGGACGTCCAAACTCCTTGTCCAGAGCGGAGGGTGTGTGTGGTCCTGCTGCCCCGAAGTTGGCACCGCCCCCCGCCCCCACTCAGCCCCCAGCACCCCGCCTCCCACCACACCTGGCGCCCCTGGCCTCGTGCCCAGTGTTCCTCTGGATGCCCTTCCCCTTCCCCGACCTTCTCCATTTGGAGGACTCCTACTCATACGTCAATACCCAACACACCGCCACCCGGGGTCACTGCTCCACCTCCCTGGCCTTCCCTTCTCCATGTGGGACCCAGGGCCAGTCTGTGGCAAGGGGTGTGGGGGCTCTCCCTCCCCTGCAAAGTCACAGCAAACTGCCCAGCGGCGGCCGTCGCTCCCCCACCCCCCTCCCCCAGTACACTGAGCCTCGGCCTGGCACACGGTGGGGGCACGGACGGGCTGAGTCACAGATGGCTGTGACCTCGGATCCGTGCACTGTGGCCTGCAGCGGTCTCCGTAAAAGTTCCCGAGACGACGGCGAACTTGGAACACCCTTGAGACGTGAGTGGCGCAGCATCAGCTAGGAAAGCCCCCGGGCAATGGCAGAGACGAAGGGGTTGCTTTGCAGTCGCTTCAACATTGTGGACATTCATAGAAGTGATTTGCAAAGAGAGGAGATGATATATCCAAGCTCACGTTTCCATGGCAATGCCTCCAGCTGTGCAGCCTGCCTGGGAGCTGGCGGGGAGGGAACCCGCTCTTGTCCAGCTGCCCCCAGGCCCCGAAGGTTCTGCCAGGTGTGGAATCTGGCCACGGGGAGGGTTGCAGCAGAGGGGACCTGAGACCCAGGCCTGGCCCCACCCACGTCCTCTTCCCAGGGTCTTCCTGGAGGGAGAGGAGGTCCAGGAAGTAACCTGAGTCTGCAAGCCTCACAGGACTTGGCACGTTCTCCACGCGTCTGGCCCCTCCCTCCCAGCCCCACACGCCCTCTCTCCCTGGGGGAGGCCCACCAGGGTCTGTCCTGCCAGATGCAGCCGGGAACGCCCGCAGGTCCCACTGCTGGTGGCCGAGAGCTCCTCGGGCTACAGGGCGTTTCAGGCTTCAGTAACTAGAGGAGGTTCCGAGAACAGCCAGGCCACCTACGGCCCCCCGGGCTGCTGCAGGTCGGGTCCTGAGGGGCCAGGGATGCTTGGGCCCCTGGGAAGACCCACTGGTGCTTTCTGCTCTCACGTCTGTGAGGCCCCAGGTTGACAACCGCAGGTCTGCCCTGGTCGGCTGAAAACATGCTCCAAGAGCTTTGGGGGTCAGGTGTCCGAGGGGCTGGCAGCGCCCACAGCTTCAGAGACAGCTGGTGTGAGCACACAGAGCTCAGAGACAAGGAGCCCCCTGCCAGGAGGCTTGGCACGGAGACCCTGGGGTCACGCGAGCCCAGCTCTGCCAGCCCCGCCTGGCCCCCAGAGGCCAGCACGTGATGTTAGGGACTCATCAGGCGTCTGCAGGAGCCGTTTCTCACGTCTGTGCAGGTGCGGGTCTCTGCCAGCGCCTCCACACCTGGGGAAACAGCTCCCAGAGCAGCCTGTCACTGGCCCCAGGCTGTGCTCACCCGCATCCACCCAGGAGAGCAGAGGGATGGACTAAGGTCCAGCCAAGGGCGGGGGCCCGGGGCAACCCGCGCTCCCACTCCCCTAGATGAGGCCTTGGTGCGGCCTGAGGTCCACAGCGGGGGAGCGGGACCCGGCCGGTCCACGCGCAGGGAGCCGGGTGCCCGGCACCAAGGCCAGCGTGGCCTCCACAGGTGTTGCTTCCACAGAGAAAGGGCAGCACCAGGCCTGCCAGCCACGGGAAGCCGCGAGCCAGGGTCCCGCAGCCCCGCTCCGCTCGCAGGGCCAGCACTCGCAGCAGGAGCCCCGGGCCCCGCCCCCTGCAGCTCTGGGGCCTCGGAGCAGCCGGGCCCCTACATCCACCTGAGCAGAGGCCTGAGCGTTCCAGAAGGGTCGGAAGGCAGTGGTACTGGTCAGGGCTCTCCGGAGAAAGAGGACCAACGGCCTGTGCACTTGGGCAAAGATTTACGTTAGGGAATCTGCTCACACGACCGTGGGGCTGACGTGCAAACTCTGCAGGCAGGCCGGCAGGGAAGAGTGGGTGCCGGGACTCGGTCCAAAGGCCAAGGCCAGCTGCGGGGAATCCCTCTTCCTGGGGGACCTCGGCCCTCTTCTTCTTAAGGAGGCCTTCAACTGATTGGAGGAGGCCCACGCTCACCACAGAGGTCAGGGGCTCCACCCAAGGTCAACTGACATCGGTGTCAACCGCATTTGAGAAGCACCTTCACAGAAACACCTGGAGACCCGCGTTGGACCAAACACCTGTGTCCTGAGGCCTGGCCGAGTCGACCCGTGAAATCAGCCCTCACAGCGGGTCCTGGGACCTGGGCCCCTTCCCGGCGCATCTGCAGGGGAAACGTCCTTTCCTGTCCAGCTGTCGGCTTCGTGGGTGTCACGAGAACATGGGGCGGACGATGTGCTGAAACATATACATGTGCAAGCAGCCTGTTCGAGGGAATCTACACAGATCTTCCCGCCACGTCCTCTAAAGGCCACGTCGGCTCATCCCTTGGTAGTCTTGGGAGAGAACACGGCTGTGGGGCGGACACCACACCCCCTTCAGATGCGGCCGGTGACCACTTCTGGCCCCATGGGAAACAGTGGCTTGAGGCTGCAGAGGTCTCTGCAGCTGCATTTCAGTTCTGAGCATGTGATGCCTGTGAACCCTGAGGCACCACCGTGACTTACCCAATTTGGTGGACCACAGAGGAAAAGGGAAGAAAATCCAAGTTGCCAAGGAAACCACTTTGAATACATTTTACGATGTTGTGAGAACTGTACCTTCCAAGGGGGCTGGGTTACACTCTGGGCCGTACTATCGCTGTTACTGTGACTCTGCCCCCACTGCCACCCCCTCGGTCAGCGTTGGGGGGACACTCGGCCACAAAGCCGAACTCCCTCAACAGAACCAGCAGTGTCCCCGTCCCCGAACCGCTCTCCCAAGGCCCTCCTCAGACAGCTTTTGTGGCAGGAGGCGTCAGGAGCCCCTGGAGAGAGTCCCCACCCCACCCATCACCATCTCCTGGTGATTCTACAAGGAACACGCTGCCCATAACACAAACCACACAGTCGTGGTGCCAGGTTCGCCCCCGAAGACAATCACGGAACTCGGCTCTGATGGCCTTTAATGGATGAGCTAGAGCAACGTCCAGCCCCAGAGCAGCAGAGAAGACGCAGACAGACACCCCCGGCCCAAAGGGCGTCAGTGGAAGGGCGAGGAGGTAGGGACACGCAGGAAACACAGGAAGCAATGTGCACACCACTCACACTGCTCTAGAGAAGTGCAGGATGCTCGGACACACACGTGCACACGTGCACACGCACGCTCATGCCCACACTGAGGGGCCAGCACTCCCAGAGCCAAAGGGCGGGTCCAGAGCAGGGATGCAGGGGCAAGACACGGCCGCGTCTGGGACCCACTACCTGCCATCGGCGTGTCCCTGGGGAATGACCCCACAGGTGAGGTCAGACTGCACAGCCGTGGGGCTCACATTCAAAGCTCCCATTGTCACAGTCCCTGTAAGCTCTGTGAGGAACCCCGCTGACCCGTCTTTCACATGGCTTCACAATTTTTCTACCCATGGCCTTGGCCCCAGAGAATAACGGACGACTGTGTGTGTTGGCCAGAGCTGCTCACTCCCTGGGCCTCAAAACCGAGGCTGCAAACTCAATGGCCTGCAAGTGTGTGCAGAGCCCGCCGGGGATGCAAGGGGGCAGGGTGAGGACTGGGGCAAAGTGGGGAGCGTGTCACACCCGGGGCAGCCGCCTCTTGGGTCCAGCCGGCTGCAGCCAGGCAGGGATGCAGATCCAAAGTGGCCAGATCCAGACGTTCAAGAAGAAGAGATCCAGGTTTTCATGTAAAATATCTGATTTTTATTTTATTTTATTTTATTTTATTTTATTTTTTGGCTGCATTGGGTCTTGGTTGCTGGGCACGGGCTTTCTCTAGTTGCAGCGAGCGGGGGCTACTCATCGTTGCGGTGCACGGGCTTCTCATTGCGGTGGCTTCTCTTGTTGCGGAGCACAGGCTTCAGGCACGCGGGTTTCAGTAGTTGTGGCTTGCTGGCTCTAGAGCGCAGGCTCAGTAGTTGTGGCGCACAGGCTTCGTTGCTCCGCAGCACGTGGGATCTTCCCGGACTAGAGCTCAAACCCGTGTCCCCTGCATTGGCAGGCGGATTCTTTTTTTTTAGCATCTTTATTGAAGTATAACTGCTTTACAATGGTGTGTTAGTTTCTGCTTTATAACAAAGTGGATCAGCTATACATATACGTATATCCCCATGTTTACTCCCTCTTGCGTCTCCCTCCCTCCCACCCTCCCTATCCCACCCCCCTAGGTGGTCACAAAGCACCGAGCTGATCTCCCTATGCTATGCGGCTGCTTCCCACTAGCTATCTGTTTTACATTTGGTAGTGTATATATGTCCATGCCACTCTCTCACTCTGTCACAGCTTACCCTTCCCCCTCCCCGTGTCCTCAAGTCCATTCTCTAGTAGGTCTGCATCTGGGCAGGCATATTCTTAACCACTGTGCCACTAGGGAAGTCCCCTGATTTTTAAATAGTGACAATTAATTCAAATGTTTTTTTTAAAAAAACACGGTGCAGGCCAGTGCAAACCCCAACACCCCTTGTGTCCGACGGCAGGCTCAGTTGCATTTGGAGAGCGTGAGCAACTTTCTGCTGGAACGTCCTCCAGAAACCATGAGCCAGACACTGGCTACCTTCGCAGGAGGACCTGAGATAAAAAACACAGACCTCGAGGGACCACAGTTCCCTCAAAGTCCTGAGAGTAAAGCCCCGGAAATGTTCTGAGTCAAGCTGTAACTTTCACCCCAGCGGCTTGCTTCTGGGGAGAGCAGGCGTGAGCCTTTGAGATGACTTCTCTGAGGTCACGGCCGGGGCGGGAGCTGAAACGCAGGGTTTGCGGCCTCTCAGGTCTACGGAGGGGAGACCTGGCTGGCAGGAATCATAATTTGTTCTGTCTGTGGTTTTTCCCCTTTCTTTCAGGAAACATTGTTGAATGAGTCACCCACCCCAGGACAGGAATGCTGCCTGTGGGTGGATCCCTCAGCAGGGTTCCTGCAGAAGCACCCCCAGCCCTGGGTCTCAGGTGGGAACCACGTCCATCATTCGGCTGCAACCCCAAGGGCCCTCCCGCCCCAGGCTCAGTGCCGAGATGTGGACCGGTAGGTAACAAAGGTCCCGGTTCCCAAGCGCACACTGTAAAGCTCTGTGCTAGAGCCACCAGGACCCTCCTGAGGTGGTTCTCCTGCTGACCCCACAGCCTTCCAGATCTTTCCTGCATGATCAGCAGGCAGGTGGCGGGAAGAACCACAGGCATGCCCTCCTAGGGGGGGCTGCTGCGGGAGCCCAGATAAAGTCCCCACAGAACTCGCGGGTCACAGGGCGGGACTTTGTTTGTGGACTGAGGCACAGAGGCGGGCAGGCGCCAGCCAGCAGGACCCGGAGCATCCTCGCCGACAGCAGCAGCCTGGGAAGTCACTTCTGTTGTTTTAAACCAAGAAAGTGGCTCCAAGTCCGGCGATGTCGGCCAAATGTCACCAGGGGTTGAGCCTTTGTCACTTCCTTTCTGTGCACCAATCCCAAGGCTGGCACCACTCTCTCTGGACGGCACAGTGACCCCCTCTGCGGCTGCGGCCACGACCAGAGCGGGCTTTCAGACTCGAGCCACCCCAGCCTCTGCCGCGCTGAAGGCTCCTGTTCTCCGACGGCAAAACGCACAGCTGGAGCGTGTGCTTTCCCGGGCAGGCAACATAAATTCTTCCCGCCAGGAGGGCCAGGGAAGTAGGAAGTGAGCCAAACTCACATAGTTTTGGGTCTGTGTCATGGAGAGGGTCCCATGGCGAGGCGGCCCCGGGGACCGTATCCTAGGCACAGCCCCAGGCGGGGGGGACACAGCAGTCATGCAGCTGCTCACCCCCATCAGTGACAGGCTGAGCATGGCGGCTTCGGGTTACGGCCCAGAGCCAGCTGTCGCGCTGGTGGGGGATGGAGGAGGGAACAGTGACTCACGCGGGTCCAGGTGGAGAAATCTGGCGCCAATCTTCCAAATTAAACTTTTAACTGGAGACCACTGATATTCACACGCAGTTGTAAGAAGCAGCACAGAGAGATCCCACGTGCCCTCAACTCACACATCTCCCCCAAGAGGATGCACTCGTCACGCCGGGTTCCGGCTCAGGGCGCCCCCCACACCCCGGCCGTGTCCCGATCCCCACATTCACCTTCACACCTGGCGTGCTCAGTCCGTGCAATGTCTGCACGCGTGTGGGCTCGGGCACCCGACCCACTTCCTCAGAGGAGATCCCGCGATTCTCAAGGGCGAGGATACCCAGTGGGAGGTCTGTCCGCATGCAGGATGAAGGTGGTGGGGGAACGGAGCACGGGGATCAGGGATGCTGGTCCCCAGGGGAGGGGCACGTGCAGACCGGGCGTCCCCCACTCCCGGGCGGCCCTCCTCGGCTGGGGACCACGCAGAGCCCTCCCCACGCCCAAGGCGGACTCACCTCTGTGATGATGAAGAAGTCGTCCCCAGGCTCCCCCTGGACCACGATCTTCTCTCCGTCCTCAAACTGGACGGGCTCCAGTGCGTCAGCCACAGTCAGACGCTCCCACTTCTCCAGGGACTCTGCAGCAGGGGACACGGGGGCGTGGGGGTCACGGGGGCCAGGGAGGGTCGGGGGGTCAGCTCCCCACCCCAGACAATCTAAGAAAACACCCACATGGCCAGCCCCAGGGTGATGAGGCTTTGCTCCATCACAGGATGAACAAAACAGAAAGCAGATTTCTGTGCAGGAGGCCCGGGTATTTTCACAAGTGAGTTGGGCCCAGGGTGTACACGGCTCAGCAGGGGGACAGGGCTTCAGAACTGGGAGCGATTCTAACCTACATCACAGGTTTAACGTAGATGACAGGCACTGGACGTTGAGTCCAAGTTAACTCAGGATGAAATGCCTTTGTTATCTTCAGAAGAACAGAGCTGCCTATATTTTTGCAAACAGTATAATCACAGCTCAGCACTAGGGCTACCAAGGGGTTTAAATCATTCAGAGGTCGAAGCAATTCCCTGTTCATAAGACACCATTCAGTGCCATTCAAAGAGCATACAACTGTATTTACGTGGCTAGAGGTGTAGTATACCTTCCATTATTTTGGGTCAAAATACTTCATTCCAATGGCAAGTTTACTTTGATACTTGCAAATTCTGTATATCTTTCCCCGTCGCCTTCCCTTCCCCGTCACTATCCACCCCTAGCCCTCAGGAAGGAAAAAAATAACAGCGTGCTCCTTTTATAAGAAATTAATGAAATTAATGCTCCTTTTATAAGAAATTAATGAAATTAATGATTGCCTGATTAACTGTTTCTCTTTTGGCCGAAGAAACTTTTCCGGCCTCCGCTTATCAGCTGTGCGATGTAGGTCAGCCGCTGAAAGTACAAAGCGACGCGTTTATTTTAGATCTCCAGTAGGAGGGGGATTTCTCTGCTTGAAAACTCCTGCCAGGGCCACACGCTGAAAAGGACACGCTTTTGACCAGCCCCGGGGCTGGAGCAGATTCTGGAGCCGCTGCCAGCACGCTGGTCCAGCAGCCTCCATACCGGACGGGAGCTGCCCCGTGACCCAGACCCCGGGCACCCTCAGGAGAGGCCGGCATGGCGGCGAAGATGCAGGTGACTTTGGAGGGTCACGGTTGGTGCCGAGGTGGAAGCTGGTGCTGGTAAACGTGTGACTGCTGCTTGGTTTCCTTCCAGGGCGATGAGAGGCATTTGATTTTACAGCCTTGGGCTTAGGAAGTTCTCGTCCTCCTGTTTGAGCGGTGGGTTTTTCTATCGGATTTGAGACCTGGAACCCCAGTCCCGAGGTCGGAGAGTCAGAGCTTCCACCCTCAGCAGCGTAAATCCCAGGATGGAACTGCTGGAAGAGACGGAGATCGGGGCGATCCCTTGGCCCTGATTTCTGAAGCGGAAGCTTTGGGGGCATTTTTACTGCGTTCAGATCCCTGGGTCCCAGGTGTGGACGGTCAGCTCAGGTGGGAAATCAGTGACTGGCCAGGTGGGGCCACTCCCAGCGCTGCCCTTCTGGAGGGGGGTCTCAACGCTGCCAGGGAAAGTGGCGGACACCCCGCAGAAGAGACACAGAAGGCAGCCCTCAGTCAGCGGCGGCCAAGGGGCAGGCACACCCACCCGGAACAGACTGGCCTCGGGGCCGACGCTTCGGGAGAATGCGGACCCTCGGGCCCTGCCTCACGGCCGCTGCCGCCCAGCCCTGAGCCTGACCCCGGCTCCCCTCCCAGGAGACCCCCTTTTCCTGCCTGCTTTTCCCCTTGAAATAGGGTCAGGGCAGGCCCCCTGAGCTGCCTCTACTACCTCCCTGGAGCAGGGGGGCCGGGAGGGACGAGCCGGGTGGGCAGCCATCCTGCAGCAAGTGCATCTCCACATCCGTCCCCCAGGCCTGCGCCGTGTCCTCTGCCGGGGCACCTGACCCCGCTGCTGCCCGGCTGCCCCCCACCTTCCCCCCACCCCCTCACACCACCCCCATGTCAGCAACTCCAAGCAGTCGTGTCCTTCTTTTTGTAATTTGGAAAAAAAATAATCGGAAAAGTAGAATGAACAACACAGCCAGCATCTGTCCTGAATGAAGTTACAGGACTACTTGGTCATGTTTGCTTCAGAGCTGCTCCTACAGACACATCATGTTAATGATAAAACCGCGTCCCTTTGTCTCAATTCGAGTTCTCTCTCCTTCCGCAGAGGCTGTGACTATTAAGGATTTGGTGGATATATTTTTTTTAAATCTTAAAGGGTTTGGTGAGTTTCCACCCCATAGGTGGTCTTACACCTTTACTGTAACATAGCTTCGTACACATGACCCAGCGTTGCCAAAATCGTGCAGAGACGCACCGCCATCTGCACCATCTCGTGTCCGAGATCCGTGTTGACACGTGTCGACACGCGGAGGCCTAGTCCACGCGCTTTACTGGAGTATAAACCTGTACCCCACAGACACCCGGGCGCGAGGACCCTCCTGCGATGACAGGTTTTAGGTTGTTTCTACTTTCTTGTCATTGTAGGAATTGCTGAAATGACCATCCATGTCCGTGTCTCTTTTTTCATTAACCATGTTTTTAATTGAAGTACAGTTGTGATAGTTTCAGGTGTATAGCAAATTGATTCAGTTTTATATATGTATATATATACATATTATATATATACGTGTATATATAAAAAATGTGTGTGTATATATATACACACACATTATATACATATACACATTATATATATATATCCTTTTTCAGATTCTTTTCCCTTATAGGTTATTACGAGATACTGGATATAGTTCCCTGTGCTTTCCAGTAGGACCTTGCTGCTTATCTATTTTATATACAATGGTGTGTATCTGCTGATCCCAAACTCCTATTTTATCCCCCACCTTCCCCTTTGGTGACCATAAGTTTGTCTTCTGTGTCTGTGAGTCTCTTTCTGTTTCGTAAGTAAGTTCATTTGCACCATTTTTCTTAGATTCCACACATAAGTGATACCATATGGTATTTTTCTTTCTGACTTACTTGCTTAGTATGACAATCTCTAGGTCCATCCGTGTTGCTGCAAATGGCATCATTTCATTCCTTTTTACGGCTGAGTAATATTCCACTGTATACATGTACCACATCTTCTGTATCCATTCACCTGTCCACGGACATTTAGGTTGTTTCCGTGTCTTGGCTGTTGTGAATGGTGCTGCTGTGAACATAGGGGTGCACGTATCTTCTTGAATCATAGCCTTTTCTGGATATGTGCCCAGGACTGGGATTGCTGGATCATATGGTAGCTCTATTTTTAGTTTTTCGAGGAACCTCCATACCGTTTTCCCTAGTAGCTGCACCAACTTACGTTCCCAACAACAGTGTAGGAGGGTTCCCTTTTCTCCACACCCTGTCCAGCATTTGTTATTTGTAGACTTTTTGATGATGGCCATCCTGACCAGTGTGAGGTGGTACCTCATTGTAATTTTGATTTGCATTTCTCTAATAATTAGCAATGTTGTCTTTCCATGTGCCTGTTGGCCATCTGTATATCTTCGTTGGAGAAATGTCTATTTAGGTCTTCTGTCCATTTTTTGAATGGGTTGTTTTTTTGATATTGAGCTGTATAAGCAGTTTGTTTATTTTGGAAATTAATCCCTCGTCAGTAGTATCACTTCCAAATATTTTCTCCCAGTCCGTAGGTCGTCTTTCCGTTTTGTTTATGGTTTCCTTTGCTGTGCAGAAGCTTTTAAGTTTAATTAGGTCCCTGTTTATTCTTGTTTTTTATTTCCATTACTCTAGAAGACAGAGCCACAAAGATCTTGCTGTGATTTACGTCAACGAGTGTCCTGCCTATGTTTTCCTCTAGGAGTTTTATACTGTCTGGTCTTACGTTTAGGTCGTTAATCCATTTTGAGGGTTTTTTTGTGTGTGATGTTAGGGAGTGTTCTAACTTCATTCTTTTCCATGCAGCCGTCCTGCTTTCCCAGCATCACTTATTGAAGAGGCTGTCTTTTCTCCATTGTATATTCTTGTCTCCTTGACGCCTCTGCACCCACGAAAGTGCACCTGCTTCTTCTCCTTCTCACTCCAAAGGTTCTTAGAAAAGGAGGCTAAGCCTCACGCACCACCTGCACCCAGAAGTCCAGCCTGGGGTTTTTAAGGCTGTGATGTTCCCGCAGGAACTCCTGCTGGACGGTTATTTCCCGCGGTTCCCAGGGCCTTAGCACTTAGACGTCACTCACTCTCCCAAGCGGGTCCACTCCCTGTCCTTAAGGGGAGCTGCTAGACACACACTGATTCATATTCCCACTGATTAAAATGACATAAAATTAAAATTCTCAAGTGTTCCACACGGATACGGAACACCTGCATCACTGCCAAAAGTCCTACTGGGAAGGTTGGTCCAGAATGATACGTCGTTGTCGTGTATGTCAAAGCAACTTCAAAACGCTGAAAATCTTCTGCTGGAGAGAACCTGTTGACACTCCCGACGGTCAATGGAAATGTGGCCGACGTGTCTCTCAGATCCCAGGATGAGAAAAGCGGGGGGCACACGAGAACCCCCATGGAGGAAAACCCAAACAGGTCAGGAAAGACGCTCAACACAGCTCCAAATGGACCAACGTTGAGAGAATGGCGTTGATGGTAGAGAGACAGACATGCAAAGCACGGATGGATGGAGGGCAGACACTGTGTGTGTGTGTGTGTGTGTGTGTGTGTGTGTGTGTGTGTGTTCGTGGGCACGTACATGCCTGCATACACGATGCATCTGTGTGTACATGTGTGTGTGTGGGCGCACTGCACAGGTGTGAGCACACATGTGTGTCCCAAACTTGCAGGGCATGTGGAAACGGCTGGGCCGCAGCCCCGGGCAGCCAGGTCGGGGGCACGCACCCAGGATGGAGACCTTGCTGAGAAACTCCTCGTACACCCTGCGCTTCCTCAGCGTGCTGCCCTGTGGGAGGGGAAGACACAGAGAAGCAGGTGTTCAGAAGGGCTTCCCGCCCCAACCCCTTCCACATTCCCAAATTCCCCAGGTGACTCTGAACTCCTAAAAGGAGACCCCAGAAGCCCCTCGAACAAGCAAGGGCCTGAATGGCGGCCGCCGTTCACGGCCCAGACCTCCCCGCGCCTCCCCCTCCGGGGTCTCCGTCCTAATCGCACACGTGAGGTTGGGCCTCATCCAGACCCACGGGATGGGGGGAGCCAGGAGGCCTGAACCTCGAGCGGGTTCAGAAGCCCCGGGTTCAAATCCCACCCCTCACTCCGTATCCGCACGCCCCGAGCCAGCTCCCCCTCTCTGAGCCTCAGTTTCCTCATCTGGACGATGGGGTATCTTAATTCCTGTCCCACAGGATTCTGTGAAAGTTACGCGAGCAGACATCGGTCAGCTGACATGGTGTGAGGACCTCGGCACCGCCCCCCGACCCGGCCTCAGACTCCCCGTCGGCTCTGCGTGGCTCAGGGCCAGACCAGCGTTAAAGAGGCTGCGAGTCTCAAATCTGGAATCCTGGAGGTTCTCCCTGCCTCCCTCACAGAAGCGCAGACACCCCAGGGCCCCTCCATCCGGGGCTGGGACCCAAGACCACATGGTAACTGGACCAACAGGGTGTAGACGGAGCTCCTGCACCGCGGCTGGCGGCCACGGAGGGGACACGGCGTCCTGGCGGTCAGTGACAGAACCTAGGAGTCTTGGGGCCCTGTGTGTCCGCTTGCGGCGGGTCTAGACGCCTGCGGTGGCGGCACGCTCAGCTCAGCTCAGCCCCCAGCCCGAGCCGAGCCGTCTCAGACCCCGCCGGCCTCGAGAAAGGCGTTTCTTTTGAAAGATAATTTATATTCCCGCTGACCTCCCAGCAGCTACGCCCACCCGCTGGAATGCAGGCGTGTTTGCCCAGGAACCCTAGACATTAAAGCTCGGCACAACTGGCCCATCCATCTCCCGCCGCAGGATGACAGCTGGAGGTGGCCACCCGGGACCCTCGGGCAAGGAGATCCGCCTCCAAGACTGACCAAGGCGCCTCCCGTTGGAGGCTTTCCTCCTGGGATGAGACGGACGGGGAGGCAGGGCCGGGAGCCCCGCTGTCGGCTCATGCATCACGCAGGTGTCCGGGGCGCCGGCCCGTCACCTTGGGGGGCTTTGCAGCGCATCTGCCGGCAGCCCCAAGGTGGGCTTTGTGCCTGGTGAGGCTGGCCCTACGTACAACTCCCGTCACAGGTACGGGGCCTGCCCAAGGCCACACTGAGGGAAGGAGCCAGCGGGGCCTGGAACCCTCGTCCTCATGGATGCTTGCAGAGGACCCACGCTGGTGGCGGGGGGCACGGGGCCTGGTCCGGCTCAGCTCCGCCCATCTCCCTGGTTCCTGCAGCCTCGGTTTCCACATCTCTGTGCTGGGGGTCCCGTCGGGCCGACTTTGAGGAAAAGAGACCGCAGAGAAAGACCATCTACGTCCCACCACAGCACTGGCCACTCACGTGCCCCTCCCCCCCCGCAGGGCAGTAGAACGGCGCCCTCACCTGACGTGCCCTCACCTGACCCGGGACAGATGGATGGGGATGCATGGGCAGGGCAGGGAGGGGAAGACAGCACTTCCTGACCTCCCACCTCACCGCCAGCAGCGGGGCCTGGAACCTCACTTCGGGCCGCTTGTAGCTGGAGACACGGCCCTGCCCCCAGCCCCGACCCACTGGCGCAGGCGTGAGGCCAGCCCGGAACCCCGATGCCCAACGTGAGGCTCCTTCTGTTGCACCTTCCACTGCACCCCGCTGTCCCCAGGGAAGCGTTCTGTCCTAAGACTGGAACCTAGAATGTCTGCGAAATCCAGGCCCCCACCGCCCCCCAGGCCCCACCTGCGTGGACTGAGCCGGCCCCAAGGACGGGCTGGGGACCTGGGTCCCAGCAGACAGCAGGGCTCTGGCCATAGCACACACACCCCTGGGTACAGAGTGCTCACAGCGGGCCTGCCCCCGGGCCGCAGCTCGGGGGAGGGTGCGAACCCGCCAGGCGGAGGAGGGATCTGCGTCGGGTAAGATGACCCTTCGACCTGGACCAGCCACTCCAAACGCCCTTTCCCCTTACGTGTTCAGTCCTGACCGGCCCTGCAGCCATGAACTGAAGCACACACGTGCACACACACACACCCCGCCCCAGCTCCCACGAGAAGGGGGTCCCAGGCTCCTGCTGCCCCACTTCATGGATGGGAGCCAGGGGCCCAAGCAGGTGGGGTGGGAGCTCAGCGCTGCGGCTCAGGACCTGGTTCCGGGGGTCTCGGGACCCCCAGGCAAGTGGGGCTCTGGAGACCCCAGCCCAGACTCCACAACAGGATTTTGCACTCATCAATCCCCACTTGGGGTCTCACGTAAGATTCAGGGTGAACGAAAGGTACTGAAGCTTGAAAGAATGAAGTCCGGGGTCGCTGGCCCCTGCCTGGGGGCCCGGAGGGGGTCGAGCCCCCGTCCTGCTCAGAGGCGGCGCACGTGGCTGGCCTCGCCAAGCTCCATCCGTCCATCCGTCTGTCTGTCTGTCTGTAGCACGTGGAGCAGCGGAGCCTCTCAGGTCCGATGTTCTGGGATTCAGAGGTGGGTGGCCCTCTCCCCGGAGACACTACCAGCCTCCATCCCGCGTCCCCCACGCGTGTCCAGCTCAGGGTCCAGTCGTCGCACGATGGGCGCATCCGAGTCCGCCCAAGCCCCGGGCTGATGCAGCAATGGACGCCGTCCACGGACACGCCCTTCCGAGTGGGCCACACTGTCATTTTCTTCCCAAGACGCAGGGGCTCTGTAGGCTCCCAGCACAGCCGCGGCTATTCTTAGTGCCCAGGGATCCAGAATTAAAACAGAGGAAGCGCCAGCTGCCTCGGTGGTTTGGGAACTTCCCTGAATGTACTGTTCCAGCCACAAAAATCCCACAGCCAAGGACGACTCCGACTCAGCGTGGACGATGGCGGAGAAACAATGGCTTATGCAACGGGCCAGGTGCATCCAGAGGAGACAGGGAGGGGGAGGGTGCCTGGGGCGCCTCCCCCCACAGACAGTGATCTCTCCCGGAGAAAACAGGAATGGGCAGGTTTAAGACCAAAGAGCGGGAGCCGCATTCCACGAGGACTCACCTCACAGGGCAGGGCAGGGCAGTGCCTCCCCCAGTGGATGACCCCGAGTGCACAGACGACGAGCCGCACGAAGCAGATGCCCCCAGGACTGAACTGACCCCTCCCTGCATCACGAAGGACCAGGAGCTACAGCGGAGCCAGGACGGCAGCCGGCAATCCTTTCTCCCTCGTTCTCCTTTGGAGGGGCCCCCGGGGCAGGACCGGCTCTCCAGGCTCAGCTGGGACTGAGCTCACAGAGCCTGTCCTAAACGTCCCAGACCTTCCCCAGGCCTCCCCCAGAGCATCCCAAACCACAGCCCGCACCCCAGAAACTGCACCGCCCAGGCTGGCCTTCAGGCGACAACCAAGGCCCAAAGGGCACCTGGCAGTGGCACGTCCAGCCCCGGGGTCTCCCAGCAATGTGCTCACCTGGGTCACCTCCCTCCAGGCCGTCGGGACTCCTCGGATCCCAGGCCCACAGGGGCGGCCTTTGAGCAAACACCATCGCCAGCCCCTGGGGGCTGCCCTCAGGAATGAGCCCACCCCCACCCAGGTCCTCCAGCACCACCCCTGACCAGCAGAAAAGCGCCTGGCCCAGCGGTCACCACCGGCGAGCACGGACAGCCAAGGAGTGTGACTTCCGCAAGGACGGGGCACTCAGCTCCTAGGGGCCTCTGCCCAGAGACCTGCGGCCAGACCAGAGTGGCCAGCCAGGACCTCCCTCCACCCCTCCCAAATCGGGACTCTCTCCACTCTCACCCAGAAGGCCCCCAAGTGCCAGGGCATCACCGGGTCCAGGGCGGCTCCTGCCACTTCTCTGCCCACAATCCTGCCAGGGCTCCCGGTGCACTCAGAGTCCGAGTCCAGGCCCCCGCCCCACCCACCACAGGATCCCAGCATCCTCACTGTCTCCCCACTGGTCCACGAACAGGCCAGCCAGGCCTGCACCTCAGGGCCCTTGCACTGGCTGTTTCTACTGCCCGAACACTCTCCCCCTGGACAGCCAAGGGCTCCCTGCTCCGGGCCTCTGCTCGACACCACCTCGTCACAAAAGGGGTCTCAGGGAGGGGGGCCTCAGGGCTTTCTTTAAAACATCAGCCCCCCGCCCCCACCTCTGCCCCTCTCTGCTCTATCATTCTCCGTGGAAACTGTCAACAGGAGGTATATGTTTGCTCCGTCATCTCCTCCAGCGTGTCAGCCTCCCAGTCCCCTGACGGGTCCCAGCACCGAGAACCCAGCAGTGCGTGTGCAGGACGGACACTCAGCAGGCACGGGAAGATCCCGCCTCTTCTGCCTGGGAGGGGCCTTCTCGGCGCACAGGCTCATCTCCGGAGCCTTCCGTGAACACCTGCCCCGTTGCTCCCGAGAGCCCCACGGCGAGCCTCCACAGGTGTGCGCACCTACACCCACACCATGCCAACTAAGAGAGGAGCTGGCTGCATGTGAGAAAACCTAAAATGACAGTCCCCAAGTAAGGAATCCTAGAGGCCAGCAGCCTGCCCGGTACTGCGGTCCCACTGTGCTCCCAGAGGCCAGGCTCCTCTCAGTGATTCGCTCCACCACCTTGGGGAACGTCACCTCATGGTCAAGAATGGCAGTTGGAACTCCAGCCATCACAACCACATTCCAGACAGTTGCAAGGAGAATGGGGGAGGAAAGCAAAAGGGGCTTTCCCAGCTGTCTGCCTGCCTTTGGGTAACTTTCCTGAACCCCCTCCCGACACTCGCCACCCATCGCATCCCTACTTATGGCCCCCACCTGGACACAACCAGGGTTCCCGCGAGATGCTTGGTGGGCATCAGACTCGGCTGGCTGCCCTCCCAGCCCTGGCGAAGCCTCCAGGCAGGCACCACTCACTCACCATGAGGATGCGCCGGTAGCTGTCCCGGTCGATGCCCCAGAGCTTGAGGTCCGTCTTGGCCTTCACAGTCGCCGCCCTGGGGGTGCCGTAGATGAGGGCCAGCTCCCCGAAGCTGCCGCCTTCACTGATGCTGGTCACCCACTCTCCGTTCACATACACCTTGGGGGAACAGGGGGACAGTGTCATGGGGGCTGGGGCCACCCACCCTCTGTCCACATACACCTCCGGGTGACAGAGGGACAGAGTCACGGGGTCTGGGGCCACCCACCCTCCGTCCACATACACCTTTGGGGGACAGAGGGACAGCGTCACGGGGGCCTGGGGTTATACTGCTGCTTCCTGCGCAGGGAGCCCTCCGTTCCATCCCCCAGGAAGGCACAAGGCTGCTGCAGCCCCCAGATCCCTTGCAGGCGGGCAGAACTCGGCACTGCCCTGCCCAGGCCCAGGATCGGCCAAGGCTCCTGCCTCACGCCCAGCCCTACCCAGAGCCGAGGCTGGACGGGCACAAAGGCGGAGGCCCTCAGCGGTCAGTGCAGACGAGACTGGCCAGGCCCCAGCTGGACGCACTGCTGCGGCTCCCGGTCCGCAGGAGAGCGAGTCCCACCACCTCCCAGGTCGGCCTGCGACTCAGCTCCTCACAGACTAGAGGTGGGCTGTGCACCTGGGCCTCGGGCTCCCTGACTGCACACCAGCGAGTCACCCCTGCCATGGCGCTCTCGCCCCACCCGTGCGGGCCCCTCCACTTCGTTCACAGACAGCCCTCCCTGCCGTTCCTGCTGCCTGAGGCTCCAGGGAGCAGCCCGGCCCCTGGCCCACCTCCACCGGCAGGCCCCACGGCCAGGAAGAAGCCAGGCTCCCCGGGCCTCCCCAGGGCCTCCGCTCCCCGCGGGCAGCACCCAAGTGCCCGGGCCTGCGGTCAATGGGGAGCGGAGGCTGGCGCCGAGGGCCGAGCCCAGAAGGCGGACAAGATTCCCTTTCAGCCTGGGAGGGCGGCGCCCGCCGCACAGTGTCCCTACTATCCAGGGACCGCACGTCCGCATCCTGCAAGAATGGCCCGGATTGTTTATTATACAGATTCGCTTACTATAAATTAACACAACCACTGTTCATTCCCTCGATGTCAATGAGCTTAAAGAATGGTTCCCATTGGCAAAAAGCATGCATGTCGGGAAAGAATGGATTGCGATGAATCATGGAAGCAATTCTTATGGAATCAATGACTCATTATCCTGATAATAACTGAGGCACAGAATTGTCAGCCTGCGGGGCACCACGCAGGTGATAACGGAGTCCGGTGTGAGCAAGCCTGGGGAGCAGTGGCCGGCCTGCCCACAAGGTGTCAGGGGAATGGAGATGACAGTTTACAGAGCGACCCGGGGCCTGCGCCTCTGTCCCCGCGAGCCCCTGCCCGCCCAGTGAGCCTGCACGACGCCCCTGCCGGGTGTCGGGGAGAAGAGACGCCAGCTTCCACTCAGCAAGGCCCTCGAGGAATCAGGGCGACGCCCATCCTTCCCACGAGGCAGGGAGTGTGTCCGCCCGGCTGTGCCCCGAGATGCTCCCCCCAACAGAGAGCACCCCCAGAGCCGCCACCTGTGGTTTTCTCAAAGGGGACCAGAGTCTGTGGAGGGGCAGTCACGGTGACCCAGGCTCAGCCGGGCTGGCACCAGCTCCCCTCGCAGCTGGTCCTCCGTTCACAGGGCTTGTATGTTTGTAAAATCCTCTCTGCGTGGATACAACTCTCAAACCTTAACCTGTACGACCCTAAGCGTGCAGCGCAGTGAGTCTCCCCACCACTCAGGTCAGGGCGCGGGACGTTTCCAGGTGCCAGGAACTCCCGGCGCCCCTCGAGGGCTCAGGTGCCTTCAGATGACCGCGGTGCGGCTGAAAGGAACCCCAGCACGTCCTTCTGTGCCAGGCGAGTCTGAGCGCTGGGTCCAGTCCGTCCGTTCTCACTGCCGCACCGCTACTCCCCAGGCTGTGGGTGACGGACGCCGTCTAGTTTCAGCTCTGAATCCGAAGGGGGCCTCGAACCTTCTCGCGTGTGACTAAACGCCCTCACTCTCGTGGGTGATGCAGGGGGTGGGGGTGGCACTGGTGGCGTCACGGGGGTATCCGCGCGATCTGCTGAACGCCATCTCCCCAGGCTGCACCAGCCGGCCCTCCCCTGGCGCCCGCGCCTGCTCCCTCGGTGCGGGGACACCACAGTGACGTGGGCTCAGAGGACCACGGATCTCGGGTTGGGAGCCTCGCCGGACATACGGAGCCTGGGGAGGGTGTGCAGCCTCCTGGCTCCCACCTCAGGGGGAGAAGGAACCACCTCCTCGGATGGCTGCCGGGGGGCAGGCCACCCCCACCACCCGCCAAATAGCACAGGGTCCCCCAGGGAGCAGGGTAGGTGGCTTAGGAGAGGCACCAGCAGCGGCGGCACCTCCACTTCCGCAGGGCACACAGGACCAAGGGCACCTGGGCCGGAGCGCGTCACCAGGGGGCCATGAGGACCCTTCCTCACCGAGGTCCCGACAGCGTCCTCAGAGGCGTCAGAGAAGAGCATTGTGCAGAGCCGAGGCCGGGCAGGGCCGCCCCTCGGAGCACAAAGGGCCATCCTTCTCGGACACTGGCCTCTGTCACCACGGCCGCACAGTGCCCGGCCCCACCCCAGCTGGCACGCAAAGGGGCTACTTCGTGCTTTGTTTCATTTTTGTTTTTCCTTCTTTTAAAGAGAAGTGGTGGGAGGCCCTACTGGGCTATGTCTGTGCTCCCGCCGCTGCCTCGGCTTCTCCGGCTGAGCCCAGAGCTCCCGCCCCGCTGATCTTCGTTCATTCGCTCACTCGCTGTCACCCCCGTGTCACCCCCAGCAACCTGGGTGTCCGGCATGCTCTACCTGCTGGGTTCAGCGGTTTGGAGCGTGTGGATTCCTGTTCACCGAGACTTACCGGCCGACCGGTCGGTGCTCACCACACTAGCGTTATGTCATGGAAACAAGCGCAGGCCCAGAAGAGAAGGGAAGGCGGAGCCATAGTCCAGACCGTGCAGAGAGGGCTTCTGAAGAGGTGACTTCGAGCCCAGCCTGAGGGGCCCCCTGAAAAGACCAGGGGGAAGAGATCTGAGGCGGGGGAACAGGACGAGCCAAGGCCCTGAGGCAGGACTGAACTCGGAGGGCACTGGATGCAGCAAGACCACACAGGGAGATGTTCGTCTCAGGACCAGAAGGTTCCAGCACGGCTGAGGCCAGGTTCACATCTGGGAGGCTCCCCCTGCTGCAGCTGGAGCCCAGCTCAGGGCGGCGGGAGGGGAGCAGGGAGGAGCGAGGGGCGTCCCAGAAACACAGCCTTCGACCACGTTACTCAACAGGTGGTGTGCGGACCAGGTGCACAGCACCACCTGGGAACCTGCGGAAACCCAGGTGCACGCCCCCCTCCCCACCCAACCCCCGACAACGACCGACTGAATCAGACCCCCAGGGGTGCAGCCCAGAGGCCAGGACCTCAGCAGGTGATGCTGACGCCTGCCCACGACGGACCAGCTCTGATTCGACTTTGGACGGAGGTGGAGACGGTGATTGATTGGGTCGAAAGCACAAGAATCTGCTTAGTGAGACCCCAGAAGCAGCATCACAGGTAGCACTGCGTTCCCATCAAGGGGGACTTGAGATGGGGACCTCGGCCCCGCCAAAGCAGACGAGCAGCTGGGAACGCCAGGGGGGCCGCCTCCCCGCCTGCCCCCAAACCCGGGACACTTCGGTTCAACACTCGACTCCACAGAAAACAGAAATTCAATTGAAATAACTGTTGGGTGAGTGGAGACAGAATCACTCACTGAGTTATCCACTACACTGGATGGGGGGGTCCTGCGGCCTCAGCCCCCCTGCCCCCCGCAGCCACTTCCCACGCAACCCGGAGCCGCCCGGGCAAGGAAGCGAGTAGGGCGTGCCAGCCGCTGTTGTTTTTGGTTTCACAGATGGTGAGAAAAAGCTAATGGCCCAGCTCCCAGGCTCCGGCCACAAAGAGACGGGGCGTCCAAGCAGGTGAGTCTGTGCAGGTGAGTCCAGGTATGTCGGCTGCGCTTCTCAGGTAAACCCGGTTCCGAGCCTCAACCCTCTTTAGCCCAAAACACCTGGGGAAAGTCGACTGTCTGGTTTTGCTTGAGAGGCAACTCCTCCCAGAGACTCCCTCCCAGCTCCCTGTCTGTGGTGCCCGGGTCACGTGGACCAGCCCCACGGGGTCAGCAGCCACTCCTCAGGGGTGGCCAGCCGCCAGCCAGGTTCCCTCCTCGGAACCCGCCACACCTGGGCCTCCTCCCGCCCTCCCCTCACAGACATCACGCTCTCCGAGGTCCCACAAGGCAGGGTCCCATCAGGATCCCAATCCACGTCTGAAGCGCCACTTACTTCCGGGGTGACCACGTGCCCCGTCAAGGGCCCGCTGTGGGGTGTGCACGAGGACCGGTCCCCTCCCCGAGCTGTCATCACATTACCACCACCACACAGGGGGCTCTGGGTCACCTGTCCGTGATTCCAGAGCAGGCTCTGGCCACAGTAGGGCCACCAGGACCTCTGCAGGGAACCAAGAGGGGTGCTGGGCCCCCAGACACACCCTGTGGGTGAGATGCTGCAGGAAAGCTTCACAGCCGGCTCGGGGCCATGGCCACCCAGCGCCCAGGAAGTGGCCGGTCAGCAGAGAGAGCCTGAGAGGACGCCCAGGTCCCTGCACAGCCCGTCGTCCACAGCAGCACGGCTCAGGGTGGCAGCCACAAAGGCGGGCACGACAGGTAAACGGATAAACAAGACGTGGGCCATCCATGCAGTGGAATGTGACTCAGCCTTAAAAAGGGAGGAAACTCTGACACTTGCTACAACATGGATGAACCCTGAGGACGTGATGGTCAGTGAGATGAGCCAGATCCAGGAGGACAGATCCTGTGTGGTTCCACTTCTGAGGTCCCTGGAGGCGTCAGGGTCACAGAGACGGCAGGAGAGGGTGGGGGCCCGGGGCTGGGGGTTAACGTTTCATGGGGACAGAGTCTCAGTTTGGGAAGATGAGAAAGTTCTGGAGACGGACGGTGGTGACGCCACACAACAGTGTGAAAACAGACACTGAAAACAGTTAAGACGGCAACTGTTACGTTATGCGTACTTTACCAAGTAAAAAAGAAACACAGGCCACCAGGCAAGCAGACTGGTGGGCCGTGACCCGTGGAGCCGGACGGCCCGGCGTGTCCTGTCCCGGGAGGCCCCTCCCACCTCTGGAGACGTCTCCTCACAGACGTCTCGTGAAACAGGGGGAGGCCTGGGCGGGGGGGGGGGGGGGGGGTGGGCTGGGAGCCTGGGGGGGGGTAGACCCCCCCCCCAGGAGGCCCTGAAGCACCAAAGGCCTGGAAGCATCGGGGAGGAACCGTGCTCCTGAGCCTGTAAGGTCAGCCGAGGAGTGTCCTTTCAAGTGGAAATGCTACGTTCCACGAATAAAACAAATTGGGAGATATTTTCATGCTTAGGAAGATGGATTATAGCTCTCAGTGACACACACACTGCAGCCAGCACTCTCCATGTCTCTCTGGAAAACCGTAATTTAAACCAAGCTGGTGTTTCTGGCATCCGGTCACCTGGCCGTCACCCCCCCCCCGGGCGCCGTTGGTCAGAGGGCAGAAGGGGGGCTCTGGATTACCACCCCCAAACCATGCCCGTTTAAAGGCCAGGATGGGGCCTCCGAGGTGAGCCCACGTGCTGGGGGCTTCAGGGCAACAATGTGACGGACACAGTCTCCACTCCCGCCGCCCTCACAGGATGGGCCTCACTCAAGCCTTAAAAGCCACCCTCGGAACCCTCACAAGCGGCCAGTCCCTGGTCAGGGTCCCTCCCCTGCTCCCCAGAAAGGAGCAAACAAAACACGGCCCCAGGCCTGGGAGAAGCTGCAGCTTCGTGCCCAGAGCGGTGCTAACAGTCATTATTAGAATGCGTGCTGGCAGTCAGCAGCCCACTTTCTCACCCCAGGTTCCTGACTGAGCATCTTTTGATTCCTTTAAACGTGGCCTCACCCACAAGGCTCAGCCCCTGCATGTTTATCGTGCGCTCACGCCCACATCACAGGAGCTCCCTCTGCAGTCTCCCTCGCCCCGCCCGGCCCTCCCACGCCCACCAGCAGCTGGAAACTCTGATGAGACTGACGGAGGGGCGGCCCCCAAGTCACCGCCTTGTCCCATCCGGGCTGACTGTCCCGAATTGGAGAGTCCACCAGAAAGTGGCATCCACCCACAGTGCCCAGGCATCCGGGCTCAGGCATCTCACAGCTGCCTTCGTACCTGAGCCGCTGCGGGGAGGGCTGGACCTGCCTGTAACCCCAGTTACAGCAAGTGACCCCACCTCCCTGTCACACGGTCGCCTCCCCATGTCCCCCGCCTGGAGAGACCTGGCTCGGTGACTGACATCCCTGGGGGCCGGGAGGGGTCCTGCCCAGACAAGTGGGCCAAGCCAGCCCCTCCCCTCACTCACAGATGGAGGTGCGGGCCAGCAGGTGAGAGCACCTGGCACTCTACAGTTTGCTGGGACGGGGGTCCTGAGTCCAGATGGGGCGAGTGGACAAGGACACCCAGGGCTGAGCGGTTGGGGCCAAGGGGCCTGTCTCGGGGGACAGCCCCCGCTCCACCCCCCGGGCCCACCACCCATCAGGTAGGGCTCCCACCAGCGCTCAGCCCTGTGGCCGGTTCCAGCATCTCCGCTCAGGTAGTGGTGGGTCCAGTGGGCGCCCGCCTCTCACACCCTCCTGTGTGCTCACACCTGCAGAGGGGAGGTGGCCGCCAGCACCTGGGGCCATTCCTCCCTGCAAGGGAGGGACCATCTTCACTGTGCACGGGGTCTACCGAGGAGGGTGGTGGCAGGTGGATTAATGGGGACAGAGGGCAGGGCAGACGTACTGCGGGCACCCACAGGGCCTCCACCCGACCCCGCGTGTGGAGTAACACAGAGATGCTGCCACTCCGGGTAGGAGGGCCCAGGCCCAGGCAGCAGCCAGGTAACCTCAAGGCTTGGGCCTCGCATCTGCGTGGAGCACACCAGCCAGGGAGGCGCATCTCACGGGACCCCGACGGTGGGCCCTCGAGGCTCCTCGAAAGACAAGGACAGGGCTCTGGGTCCAAGGTCAGCTGCCCCTGCATCTGCTCGCTGGGGAGAACCCAGCCTCTGACGTGCCAACCCCAGGGTCATTTCAACTCTCACTTAGCCACATGCTCTGATGACATGAGTCGTCACTTTGGCAACATCTTCGGGATTGAACTAGAGGAGTCATGTGACTCCAAGGAAAGCAGAAGACGGAGGACATTCCGGGGGCTGGAAAGCAGGACCCAATCTTTGTGGGACCCTGTGCACAAGGGAGAGTCCCGATCTCGGTCGTCAGCCCAGTGGCTCTGCCTGGGTGGGGTCTCAAAGGATGCAGAGAAGTTTGCAAGTCAGAGCAGGAATAAGAACAGAGGGAAAGGACGGGTAGAGGCTCAGAGGCAAGATGCACACTGGGAATGTCCTTCCAGGGTGTCTCCCCGACGACTATGAACCCCAAGGGCAGGGGCCGCGTCCCCAAAGGTGTATCCTCAGGGCTTTGTAAGTGTCCAGCACACGAGTGCTCAATCGACATTTGAGCAAGAAAACAAGAAAGGGGGGACTTCCCTGGTGGCGCAGATGGTTGAGAATCCGCCTGCCAACGCAGGGCACACGGGTTCAAGCCCTGATCCGGGAAGATCCCACATGCCGCGGAGCAACTAAGCCCGTGCGCCACAACTACTGAGCCTGCGCTCTAGAGCCCACGAGCCACAACTACTGAGCCTGCACTCTAGAGCCCGCAAGCCATAACTACTGAGCCCACGTGCCACAACTACTGAAGCCCGTGCTCCGCAACAAGAGAAGCCACCGCAATGAGAAACCCACGCACCACAACGAAGAGCAGCCCCTGCTCGCCACAACTAGAGAAAGCCTGCGCACAGCAATGAAGACGCAACGCAGCCAAAACTAAGTAAATAAATTTATTAAAAAAGGAAATAAAACAAGAAAGGGACGGAGGATGGGGGACAGGATGGAGAGTGGTGACAGCAGAGGGACCGAGGTGCAGAAGAAGCCCACACAGGGGTCAGGGCCCGAGGAAGGACCCGGACCTGAGCCTGGAGCCAGCCGACCCCTCAGCCACTCTGAAGGGGGCAGCTCTGGAGACACCGGGACGCGGCAGCCTCGTCGTCTCCTCTGCTTCCTGGGCTGGTGTTGTTTTAACCCAACGCAAAGCCCGCAGGAGGCGGCTCTGCTGGCAGCCTGAGCCCGGGTTGGAGCCGCAGCCCGCACTCACCCTCCATCTGCCACCCGCTCTGCGGCCGTGGCCACCCCGGGCCCGCGGCTCCTGCCTCAGTTTCCGCCTGTGGTGTAAGACAGAACAGCCCTCGCCCCCAGAGGCCTGATCCAGGCCCCCTCGCTCAGGACGGGCAGAAACTCTGACTCCGTGTGCCGCTCGCCCTGAGGTCCTCGTGGTGAGTCACTTCCTGTGCCACCAGCTCCGGAAGCCGAGGGCCGCCCGCCGGTTCCCAGAACACGCGACCACATGGACGCAGACGTACTGCTGGCGGAACAAGTGAGCAAATGCCCCCCCAGCCCCTGCACAATGGCGTGGCAGTTCCAGAAGCCGAGCCCTGAGAACCGGGCTGGGTCAGTGCACCGGGGCGGCACTGCCAGACAGCAGCGGGAACCCCACCGCATGGGGGCTCGGATTGTGGGGGTGGCGTGTGGAGACCGCCAGTGGCCCATCCCTGTCCCGTCCCCAGCACTTGCATCCTGGGCCCGGAGCTGGCTCGGGGGCTCCTTGGATGTGCCCCGATAGTGCCGGGACTGTGGAGTCCAGAACCCCAGGACAGGCTCAGTCCCGAGCCTGGGGCGTGGGGGCCAGTCTGCCGCGGGGGCCTGCCTTAACCAGACGCTCCTGGGAACAGGTGCACAAGCTGGACCGAATCAGGGCCACAGAGGAAACCTTGGGGGTAGATGCACTGCTAACGCCCAGCCGAGAGGATGACACTCATGGAGGCCGAAGGAGGAGGGGGAGGGGGTGGGGGGGATGTTGGGGCAGAGGGCAGCACAGGCCCAGCCCCGCATTTGGAGAAGCCCACGCGGGGGCCCCAGGCAAGGACACCGCCATACAAGCAGGGTGGGCTCAGCCTGCGGGGGCAGGCGACTGAAGGAGGTGCACCTCCCTCCAAGTCGGAGCCTGGGTCCCTCACTCCTGAAGGCAGGAAGTAGGGGGAGGAAGCTGAACGAAATCAGGGAGCATCACATCCCTGGGACGGACGGAGCCTGGTTCCATCGTAAAGCCAGAGCCACAGGGCCTGTAGACATTTAAAAAGCATTAGCACCCAGCATGGCTGAGTGAGCCTGCTGGGCCGTGGGCTCCTGGCTGGGGCAGGGCTGGTCAATCGGGGCCCCGGGACCGCGGTCGGCTTGTGCAGGAAGCAGACGGCAGCTGCCCTTCTTATTTCACTCTGTGCTCAGATATGCTTACAGTATCTTTTAAGTGAACTCTATCACTTCTGGATTGAAAAACCGGAAACACATCACTCAGAAAGACGTCTTCTAGCCCTGAGCTTGTGCGCAGAGACAGGAGTTATTTTCCAAAAACAGTTCAAGATACTTACGTCCACTTCCCCTTGGTCGATTACGTAGAAGTTATCCCCTTCGTCCCCTACAAGAAAAGGGAAACAGGACACGTGATGCAAGAATGCGAAGTTTTGTTTTTCTTGTAATAAACCACCTTTCGGCATTGCTTCATAGACCTCTGCTAAGCAGTACCAGGTCTCATCAATTTTAAAAAATCTTTAAATAAAAGCTGTATGTATGGAAGGTGCAGAACACGATGGCCTATTTCACACACGTAGGGAAACGGTTACTGCAGTCAGGCCGACAGGCATGTCCTCTCCTGACACCACCATCTGAAATCCACTCCCAGCATGTTGCCAGGACTCAGCACAGCTCCACCATGTTTTTAATAACAAGGAGGTTATCGAAACATATTAACACATGTTAACTTGTTAAGTGGACTGTTCTCAAGTGTCATTAGTGGCTTTTCTCAAGACAATGAGAGTTTTGTATAATGTACATTCTTTTTAATGAATTTATTTATTTATTTGTTTTTAGTTTTGGCTGTGTTGGGTCTTCGTTGCTGTGTATGGGCTTTCTCTAGTTGAGACAAGCAGGGGCTACTCTTCGTTTTGGTGCACGGGCTTCTCATTGTCATGGCTTCACTTGTTGCAGAGCACGGGCTCTAGGGCGCAGGCTCAGTAGTTGTGGCTCGTGGGCTCTAGAGCGCAGGCTCAGTAGTTGTGGCGCACGGACTCAGTAGTTGTGGCTCGTGGGCTCTAGAGCGCAGGCTCAGTAGTCGTGGCACACAGGCTTAGTTGCTCCGCGGCACGTGGGATCTTCCCGGACCAGGGCTCAAACCCGTGTCCGCTGCATCGGCAGGCGGATTCTTAACCACTGCGCCACCAGGGAAGCCCTAAATACGCTTTTTAAGTGAACAACCCATTCTTCCCAGAGGGCTCTGGCCCCGGGGAGGAGCAGAAAGGGGCGTACCTTGCTGTATGACGGTCTCCCCAGCGATGTGCATGACGGGGAACATGGCGTCGAATATGTCGCTGGAAAAGAAAGCACAGCATGGGGGTGCTGCAGGGGCACCAGGCGACCTGCCCCTCACGGGGCTTCCCACGGCTCCTGCCCAGGGGAGATGATGACCCCTGGGACCCGCTGTCCCTTGGTCATGACCTCCTGATCTGCACGTTTCGGGGTTTCACAAAAATGGGATCACACTCAACAGACTCCACTTACAAAACGTAAAACAGATCGTGACTGTTTCCACTGGGACACGGCAACCAGTCCTGACCTGTTTTCTGCTTCTTCCCAGGTGAACACTTTGCATCTGAGGGTGCTGAGACACCAGATGCAGAAATGGGAAGAAACCAGGCTCTGTAACTGCTCACTCGAGGGGCACAGAGGCCGACGAGGCTGGCTCGGGCTGTGCCCGCCAGGCAGCCCGGCCGTTCCATCGCCCGAGTTTAGTGTGAGACAGACCCACAGGCAGGATGGGAGGCGCGGGCTGTGGGCCAGGTGGGGACGCCCATCACCCAGGGCATGTGTGCATGTTGGTCCAGGACCCTTTATATCCTCAGGATGGCAACCAGATGCAGAGTCAGAGGTCGGGGTCTGGATCCCAAAGTGCAATGACCACGCTCAGGGATGTGACCCACCCCCAGGCACACGTTTCCCCAAAAGAGAAGCATGAAGCTGGGGCCCCTCAGGCAGGAAACGCACCCAGGCAGTCAGGACGCCTGCTTGCTGCCCGCCTGCCTGTTTAAAAAGGGGATTTTTGGAAACCGGTCAGTGCAGGAGCCTCAGAGGAGCCCCAGGTGCCGGGCCCCGGGGAGGCAAAAGCAGGACCAGAGATCCACACAGCCCTGTGCTCACCCGCTCCCAGGGCCCAGAAGACAGGAGTAAGTCTTCAGGCAGGTCCTTCCCCTCTATTTAAACATCTCTTTCTCCCTCTGGAGGAGGAGGAGGGCAGCACCCCAGGGGTCTGGCAGGTGACCGGAGGCTGCGGGGAGGCGGGGGGAGAGGGTGCAGGTGCCCGTCAGGTCAGAGCTCAGCTCTCAGGCCTGGTCCACGTGGACGCCGTCCTTCCGTGCATGGCTAAGTCACGCTTCCACCTCCAGGCACACCTGAGCCCCGCCTGCTGCCCCGATCCCTTGGTCTCCTGATCAGGAGGAAAAACGAGCCGCTGTCTGTCCTGAGATGCGTGGCCTGGGCCCAAGGCCTCTGTTTGAGCAGCACCCTCCCTCGTCTTGCTACAAGGGCCGGGGTCCTCAGACAGGGGAACCTCAGCCGCCATCAGGCAGCCCCTCTGCTGCCTTGGCCTCCCGAAGATGGGGATCCACTCCCAAGCCTAGAACTTTCCCCTTCACACCAGGGTGTGGCCTCCGATCGTCCACGTGGAACTGACGTTTTCAAATTCACATTCAAGATGAGGTCTGACCCTTGAGGTCAAAACACCACAGACTGAAGGGAAATGCAAATCAAAATCACGATGAGATAACACCTCACACCTGTCAGAATGGCCATCAGCAAAAAGAACACAAATAACAAATGTTGGGAAGGATGTGGAGAAGAGGGAATCCTCCTGCACTGTTGGTGGGAATGTAAACTGGTACAGCCACTGTGGAGGACAGTATGGAAGTTCCTGAAAAAAACTAAAAATAGAGTTGCCATATGATCCAGAAATTCGACTCCTGAGTATACACCTGAAAAAAATGAAAACACTAATTCGAAAAGATACGTGCACCCCAATGTTCATAGCAGCACTGTTTACAACAGCAAAGACACGGAAACAACCTAAGTGCCCATCAACAGATGAATGGATAAAGAAGATGTGGCACATATATACAATGGAATATTACTCAGCCATAAAAAAGAATGAAAGAATGCCATTTGCAGCAACACGGATGTAGTTGGAGGATATTATGCTAAGTGAAATAAGTCAGACAGACAAATACTATATGATCTCACTTATATATGAAATCTTAAAAATACAACAAACGAGTGAATATAACAAAAAAGCAGCTGACTCACAGATGTAGAGAACAAACTAGTGGTCACCAGTGGGGAGGGGGGAGGGGCAAGACAGGGTGGGGGAGTAAGAGGTACAAACTACTGTGTATAAAATAAATAAGCTACAGGGATGTATTGAACTATACAGGGAATACAGCCAGTGTTTTGTAGTAACTATAAATGGAATATAACAATTAAAAATTATGAATCATTATCTCATACACCTGAAACATGTAATATTGTTAATCAACAACACCTCAGTAAAAAAAAAGAAAAACCCACTGATGAATCCCAACTTGATATATTTCTGAAAAAATCATGCAAACAGAGCTGTTCCATTCTGGGCTTGCTATTTTCAGCCCATAAGTAGTTTAAATGTTCATCACAGCTAATTCCAACAACACAGACATTTTGGTTTTTGTTTATTTTAAATCCAAACCCCACTGCCCAAGTGCCATTTTAAAATACGGCTAATAAAAAGAAACGAAATTGAGTTATTTGCAGTGAGGTGGATGGACCTAGTCTGCCATACAGATACCGTATGCTAACCCACATATGTGGAATCTAAAAAAAAAAGGTTCTAATGAACCTTGGGGCAGGACAGGAATAAAGATGCAGACGTAGAGAATGGACTTGAGGACACGGGGAAGGGGAAGGGTGAGCTGGGACAAAGTGAGAGAGTGGCATGGACATCTATACACTACCAAACGTAAAATAGATAGCTAGTGGGAAGCAGCCGCACAGCACAGGGAGATCAGCCCGGTGCTTTGTTATCACCTAGAGAGGTGGGAAGGAGACACAAGAGGGAGGAGATGTGGGGATGTGTATACGTATAGCTGATTCACTTTGCTATACAGCAGAAACACACCACTGTAAAGCAGTTCTACTCCAATAAAGATGTTAAAAAAATAAAATAAAATAAAGCTAATTCTTGACTTGCAAGTAAATGTTTAGAACACGTCTTGCTGGTAAGTTACTTATTTTGACCTTGGAAACAAGACCTTCGAAGCTACAGTCAAGCCAGCAGCCAAGGCCACCGAAGCCTTCACTTCACGCTGACCTTAGCTAAGCAGGAAAGTGCCTCTGAAAACAATTCTAAGGCAAGAAGGGAAGCCACCAGCCGCGGGCGGGGTGTGGGGGGGGTGCCTCCCTCGACCCTGAGATGCATCCGAGCCCTGGGGGTGGGCGCTGGGCATGCCTGGTTCCCAGCTCCTGGTGGCATCCACCCCCCCCCCGGGAGGGCCACGTGGCCCCCAACACCTTCCGGGGTGTGATCGGTTCTGGGTGTCACCTGCTGTCCCCACCCTAGCAGAAGCCAGACCCTGGCCCTGAGGCCTCGGGGGTGTGAACACATTGCCATGGAAACCGGGCCTTCTCCCACAGGCCATCTCTTCAGAATGAGGGTGAAGAATGTTCTTTGATGGTCGAAGAACACCCACTCCTGGGGTGAAATACCAGCCAACTCCTTCCGGCTTCCGTGATCTGACCTCAAACCTGCTCTCAGGGCGGGTGGCCTCCCAGATTAGACTGCGTGGGGCTGGGAACCAGGGGACGGTGTGGGATGGGCAGCCTTGTGTGGCCCCAAAGCCCACGGCCCAGCAGACTGGCCTTGCAGTGGCTCAGACCAGCCCAGGCTGTGCCGATGTCCCACCGCACTCACCAGCCATACCCCTCTCCCCTGCAGGAGGCAGGTGCCCCAGGGGTCCCAGGGTCTTGGGGTAAAGGCCCTGGAAGCTTGTCCATGGGGGTGTGTCTTACAAAATGCCACTGTGCCCCCAAGCGACCAAGAAGATCGCCCGGGAAGGACTCACTCACCAAAGTGCTGCGAAGCCCTGGCGGCCCACCCTCCACGCTGAGCCTCAGATACCGACTCTGCAGCTCACGGGGCCGCCGCAGACCCTTCCAGCACATAGCATGGGCAGGCCTGTCCACGGTCACTTGGCAGGGCCGCACGGACGTAGACCCCAGTTCTGGGACCAGCCCGGCGCTCAGCCGGCCAGAGAGCACCAGCCTCCTTCTGGACGACAGGGCTGGTGGGAGAGACCAGGCGGCCCGCTGTGCTCCGGGTTCTAGGGAAGCAGAGCCCTTCCCACTCTCCCCGTCCTCCTCCTGGGACACCCCACCTCCGCCCCCCTCTCTAACAGTGGGCACATGTCAGGGGGACAGACCTGGACCTCTCCCTCATCCCCCATCAGCCTCCGGCTCGGCCACCCACTCAGCAGCAGACCCCAATGTTCCCGATGGAACCACAAACTGCATCTGGCCACGCCAGCACTTAGTGGGACCTACTAGCATCTTAAACCTCAGATGCAGATTTGTGCCCTGAGCTCGTGACACTGGTCATCTGCTCTTGTTGACAATTTCTCCCCCTTCTACCCGCTTCCCCCGTGCCCCTCGCAATGGTGCTTGTTCTGAAATTTGAGGGATTTCCTTTTCATTGTATGCTTTCTCTCACAACATGGAATCTTGAGCTATATGCATGTACTTTAAATTTACCCCCAAACGGCATCGTGCTACAGATCCCACCCTGTTTCTTCCCTTTTTTCAGGAGCACATCTCGGCTTTACTCAGACTGCCTTCTCGCTGTGCCCTCATGTGGCAAAGAGTGAGCATGCGAGGCTCTCTGATGTCTTCTTATAAGGGCACTAATCCCACCATTCGGCGCCCAACCTCCTGACCTCACCTAAACCCAATCACCTCCCAAAGGCCTGCCTCCAAATGCCATCACATTGGGGCTTAGGGCTCCAATAAGTAAATCTGGGGGACACGGTTCAGTCCACAGCAATTACCTTCTGCCAAATAGTTTTTGGATTCATATTTAGGCCTTTTGTCCGTGAGGAAGGGGATCTGGTTTGTTTTTCCCCAGACGGTTAGCCAGTTTTCCCAACAACACCCACGAATGGCTCCATCCTGGTATTACACTCACACAGCACATACTCTATGAGTCTGTTATGGGCTGATTTGTGTGTCCCTCCAAATTCGTATGAAATTCATACAATATGCTGAGCAGCTTTCTCTTGTTTCTTATTTTCTGGAG